ATATTTAGTTTCAGGTTGTCTATGATCTCTGCATGATGTTGATTTCCGTTCAAACCAGATGTATTCCACTGGAAAATTTGTTTGTATGATGTTGGCAAAAAATATCCAAAGCATACATGATACACCTACGCCTTGTCGCACAGAATGCACATGTCTTGCGGTGCCACATACTTTGTCTCTCTATTTTCTTTCCTCTCTCCACTCCCTCCACCCCCCCCCCCTAACTATTTTGTAACTTTTGAAAATGGTAGTTTTAAAAATATGGGGGTATGGACTGAAACCACTGACTATCGTACTGGAAGCAAGCGTGTCACTATCCAAAGACATAAGACTGCTATAGCTGAATGTCTATAAGTAGGCAGACAAGACCAGGACCCCAGTGGCAGGTCGAATGTAGTTTGATGTTCTGTTCACACATGGGAGTTAAAGACATGTCAGGGAAGAGAAAACAGAAATAAGACGCAGATAAGAAGACAGAAGGTTTTATTGTACGAACCCATCCTGGAATTTCCCTGCTCTAATCTGGCTGTTGCTGAGGTTTCTGGCTTTCTCTCAACTATCTCCCTGCACTCATCACGCCCGCAGATAGAGTCCAACTGTTACCTGGCCTTTCGCTGTTTGCCTCTTGCACACAAATTGTATTTTACTGCAAGAGAATTCAAACATCACCGTGCATATTTCAATGTTATGTCTTTCTTTGTTCTCGGTCACTGCAAACCAAATGCTTAGTTTCTGTATCTACTTCTGTGAGTATTTGTCAATACATCTACACGCAATGATGTTCACACGCTACTCACGCTAGCGAGTTTACCGTCTGAGCTTGTAGGTAAAGTCCACAGGTTGTTGTGATCCATGGCATTTGTTACAGTGAACCAGTCCACAGGTTGTTGTGATCCATGGCATTTGTTACAGTGAACCAGTCCACAGGTTGTTGTGATCCATGGCATTTGTTACAGTGAACCAGTCCACGGGTTGTTGTGATCCATGGCATTTGTTACATTGAACCAGTCCACAGGTTGTTGTGGTCCACGGCATTTGTTACAGTGAGCCAGTCCACAGGTTGTTGTGATTCATGGCATTTGTTACAGTAAACTAGTCCACAGGTTGTTGTGATCCATGGCATTTGTTACAGTGAACCAGTCCACAGGTTGTTGTGATCCATGGCATTTGTTACATTGAACCAGTTCACAGGTTGTTGTGATCCATGGCATTTGTTACAGTTAACGAGTTCGCAGGTGTAGAAATCGCTCCCGGTCATTTGAAAAGGGTAGGTATGAATTCCGGAATGGTCACGACAGAGTTCAGTTATTACAATGTTGATATCAGTTTAAGTAATCAACATCTGTGGGATCAGATCAGAACTTGTAAACGGTTTGGTCACACACGTATCAATTGATACTATTTTTTATTTCTGAACTTCATTGACCATACACGAGGACTTTGATTTTGCAGATGGCATAGCACTCCTATCATATAAACATGAACACATACAAGACAAAAGTAGCAGACTACACAGCACAGCAGAAATGGTGAAACTGAAAATAAATACAAGGAAAACTAAGATCATGACAAACAGTCTATACCAACAACTATAATTATCATTATGTAGCAGATCCTTTGCAGAACTTTACTCTTATCACAGTCTGCCCGAAAGAAACTCGGTCTCTCGCCAGTCCTCCCGCCTGATGTACTTTCATACTCAAGGAGTCACTTATATCCTGTGCCCATCTTCGTGTCGGTCGCCCTCTGCCCCTCCTTCCTGGTACCATGCCTTCAGCTATATTTTTTTCCAATCCGTTGTGGCGCTTGATATGACCAAAATATTTTAGCTTCCAACTAACAACCAGTGACCATAAATAACAAAACTCTTGGAAATGTAGAACATTTCACATATCTTGGCAGTGTGGTGTCCCTACTGGGAGGGACAGAGGAAGACATACAGTCACGCCTGAACAAAGCTAGAGCTGCTTTCGGAAGGATGAGGCAAATCTAGAGTTCCAACATTCACTGCAGAGGAACGAAACTTCGACTCTACAAGAGCATCATTTTGCTAGTTCTTCTTTATGGAGCAGAATGCTGGAGAATGACCAACAAGGATGCGCACAATCGCTGTAGTGTGGTTTTTCAGGCAAATATACGTCCAGTAGTTTGCCATTGCTTTCTGGACTGTCGTCTTTCTTGATACCACTGTCAAAACCAATGAAAGGCGTATGGCCCGCAGTTGGGATCGAACCCGCCATTCCGGCATTACAAAGCGTTTGCCACAGAACCGACATTTAAAAATATAAGTTGTATTTTATTCAAAGTAAGCCTCTTGTGCATTTATATAGCAAATGGCACGATCTAACAAACACAGGAACGATCTCTTAGTTTTTCTGTTGTTATAGCCCTTAAAGTCGATGTTACGGCCCTTTGGATGTCACTAATATCCTTAAAGATGTGTCCTTTCAATCCTAACTTTGCCCGGCTTTCTAGCGGAATTGGCTAAACCGGATTTAGC